TAATCACGCTATGGCCCAAATCTACCTGAGCAGATTTTGATCTCGATGTGGCCTCATCGAAAACAGGTAATAATTTATCCTGCTCCTATAGTAACTTCCTGAGAAGCATCCTTCTGCCTCGCAGACTAGTATGTTGTAAGAAAGTGGGTAGGCTTTTGAATCAGTGTTGTTTTGCCTTTCGGCTAGATTTACTCTACTACGTACGCTTATCCATTAGATGTAACTTGTATTTCGAATCCGATCAGCCATTTGTCGTCGCAACTCTTGGCGATCGTCATCATATTGACACGAAGTTTTTTTATTCTATTATCATCCCAAGTTCTTTAACTGTGGACGGCGAGCCTTGTTTGCTAACCATAACGCAAATCATTCGAGTCAAACGTCAACTGTTTTTATCGTCCGTTTACAAAGGAAAAGTAGCACGCGCTTGAACCAGGCAGAAGCATTTGACCGAAAATCTCTTGCGGTACGCTTCCGCAACGACGTCTTGGCCAAGAGTTCAAACTTTCCCATGTGAGCGTTAACGGTGAAGCGTTCCTGGACGCCGGACAATGTATCGAAGTGCTAATAATTTATCACACAAGTCATCTTAATTACTGTCTGACGGGCAGCTTATTTACCTCCTCTCTGATGGCCCAGTTGACAACTATATATCGATCTACCCAGTACGCTGATAGCTTAACTTCACCTATTTACTGTGGTTTAACGATACCATTATGACAGGAAAGTAAGACTATCCTGACGTAACTGTGAGTATTTTTTATTTTATGCCCTATCCTTACCTCGAAACACATTTTCGAAATAATACTGAGTTACCCTACAAATGTTAAAGGTATATGGAGCTGGCATGTGGCATCGACTTGAGCTAAGTTTACATTTGCTGCATTTTGTGCTCGGATCCAGCCATGCAAAGCAACGTTTAATCACCACTAATAATCAAAATGATAACAATAACTTAAATATTTAATTATTCTAATTATCAAATAGTACGAACGTGATCTCGACTACAGTGATTCTTTTAAGCAAACAAATATTTACCAGAAAACGACAGATTTGGCATTGTTCAATCCCTATATAGATCGAGCATAAAACCAGTAGCTGCATGAAGCTTTCCCGCAAAAAAAACACTCGTGAAGATAAGTGTTACAGTACAATAATGAGCAGCGGATAATTATAATGATATACCATAATGTGTTGTTTGCAAGTAACACAGTTTTTATGGATCGGAATTTCATGAAAAACGGTAATCGTTGTTTACCATCAAATGAGTAGGCAACGCTTTGAGCCTTCGCTGTCCGTTTTTAACTGTCCTATCGCGTATAACAGCTCCCCTTAGTTGAACGGTAGCGGCGTGGCGATCGGCTAGACCCCAATCGTTTCTGCTGAAACGAGATTCGGATTAATCGACTGCTTCGTAAGATGGTGTCCAAAATGGCGAGAAGTTTTAACTACTTCGAATTTAATTTTTAAATAATCGGTTTATAAGGAGTTCGAATAAACCAATATTGTCTTAAAATGGGCAGGCAGTCATGTGACCAAGATGTTGGTGAGTCACACTGTTGCAGTGAGCCTCGAGACTCCTTTAAATAACTCTACTTTAATCAGAAAAATATTCTACATACGTCTTCCGAGAGCCAAGAGCTTTATGACGAAGCAGCGTACGATAGTGGCACATTTTTTGCCGTAATCTATAATTGAGCTGTAGCCGTCTACCGCCGAGGAACGTTGACGGGACAATAAAATGACGGTGGGCTTTTCAAATCTCGAATCTAAACAATCTCTAATAGTCAGAGCCCATAATTTTCATACGGTCATACTCGTTCCAACTCCCTCCGTTCTACCTGTTATAGCTACGCCTGGTCCAAAGTTGCGCCATGTAGAGTGTTTAATCAACTGGGGGTTTCCACCAACAGAAAATTAAACACCAGCGCAGACGCCGCAAAACTGTCAGCCACAAAGGCATTTGTCCATGACTTACTTTCGCACCCACGTTATCAATCGTATGCTTGATATCGACCGACCTGAACCAAACACAAAGACGTTTATCTACTTATCTTTTTTCCAACCAGCTGCGGCACCGTGCTGGCAGCGATTCATGAGTGCAGAAGTGAACCGACATATCGTTTGCCTAGTTAATACTTAATCTCACAAAAGGTCCATAATAAGCTATTGGAGGGATTGAAGCTCACCCGGCATCGTATTTGTTTCTTCTAGCTAAAAATAGATGGTCCTGCAGACCAAGCCTTTATCAAAGGTCACATCATAAATACTTCTACGATAATCGGCGATGCACTAGCCTTGCGGAAGGCTGAGGACCCCTATAGTTTGTGAAGTTGACTTATAAAAGTCGACAAGAACAGCTGTCTCGCGGAGCGCTTCATTAGCCAAAACAGTTCCGTTAGGTTGAACCTGAATTATGATGTAAAATTAGAAAAATTGCGTTCAATACTTAAGCTCGCCTTAAGAAAGCCTGAACGGTAGTCAGTACTTCTATTGACATTAGACAATAAATAATCATTTATAGAAATTCTTATTTTAATGGATGATGTTGCAAAACAGTAGACCGTTGGCCTAGTGTTCGCTCGTTTCGCTTTTACTATGAGATATTAACTTATATAGTACCTATACAACGCGATTGGCCGCATCCAGATGAAAAGTGGAATCATCCTATCATGATAGTATCTTAACCGTCATGTCCACCAATATCATGAGACTTTAAAAAAGCATCGATTTTTGTCCATCGATGAAACGCTTTTCTAGCTTAGTAGATCTGTTGTATACGTATTGATAGTCATAGTCAGGCATAAGAGAAATAAGACAGTGAATACCAAGCGGAACACGAGTAAATCGTTGTAGCCTTTACTTCTCAAACATTTATTGGCAAAACAGTTACTCCTTAATGACGATACCATGCTGTTATAATTTCTTCTGCATTCGCAGAAAAATCTCATCTTAATCTCGTTTAACTGAGGCCGCCTATCATAATCGCGAACTAACTAAATACCTGTGATCGCGTCACGCCCGTTTCCGTGAGTTCGCTATTCCTGAAAACGTTTGTGCAGGTTTTGTTATACTTTTTTTTTTTTTTTTTTTTTAAAAACAGGCAGTTTAAGCCATCGTAGTATTACCTAAGGTATGAGATATTCTAATTAACCGATTAGTAATTATATGAAAGACTTGATCGTTGTGAATATACAATTATAGCTAGCACGTGATGGTGTAGTCCACAGTCTTATGCGAAATTGAAAGAATCTATTTAAGGCATGCAAATCCGTAGTGCCGTCAAGGTACGTCGCCTTCACCAAGAAGTTTCTAAGAAAAAAAAAAACAGTTTTCAATGACGTTTGCGATAATGCAATATTTTGCTCAGTACTAAATGGCGATTGTGAAACCGCGTGGTTGACCCAGAAACGTTTCGAATACAATCTGGGTTCAGAATCGGTCAGTGGACAGTTCTGACAGAACGAACAATTTCTGAACCACCACTAGATGTCGCTTAAACCATAGTCAACGGCCTCGGCAAGGTGTATCGTTGTCAGTTATGATGCATTTTGCATAAAGTAAGGGGAGATTCACAGTGTAAACTCACGCACTGAATTAGAGATATGATAATGCGTGAAGACATGGCGAGCAAATCTTTTCTACTCATTCACGGCCGCTATAAAGATTGTTCGGTATTGACTGTCCTTGTGTAAATATTTCTGTGTCACAAGTCGCTTATTTGCAAAGTGGCTCGCCAATATAAAAAACCTTGCGCTTTATTTCGGGTTGAATGGACCCTGAAAGCCATTGATATTTTCAATGAAGAAGATAGTTCATCGAAGATGACAACAAATAGAATTTGTGATTATTAAAATAGAGCAATTTTTTCCAGAGTTCAGACAATGCTCGATGTATTTACTTTGAATAGTATAGCTATATTCTCTGCGTGTAGTAGCATTTGCACAAGCTGCGCCATTCCCAAACACTTCCGACTTGATGGACTGAGACAGGCTGTCTAGCGTCACTTCTATCGCCTAGAGTTGGCAGTATTTTCTTCCCATTCGGTCTAAACACCCGTAGGCAATATAATTAAGTATCATATAGATAATACTAGAATCACTACGAATATTGCCACGACGGCACGTAATCGTCTGTCAACAGTCTACCTATGCTTTTTGACAGACCTAGCTAACGTATGCCACTATTCGATAAAGCCTGCAGCAATCAACCATATTACGTATACTAGAGCGCCACCCGTGCGTTTCGCCAAGGACCTGCTCTGCTGTTAAACACATTTCACCCGTGTAGAAGTAAAAGGCTGATCATATTTACAACAGAGATAACGTCAAACAGCGGCCAGCTGTTTTCTAATAACTATAACCTAACGGCTTTTTCCACAGCGTAGTTCAAACACAGTTTATGATGCAACATAGCTTGAGTACACTGATTCACGAGGGGCAATTTTCATACTGATGGTGTACTAGCGCAGATGAAACTGCTGACCGCGCTGGCCTGTAAGCGCTAGCGGCGGCGTTGATTTCAACCTTGGATAATGACAAGGAAGTTTCTCCCGTCGGTTTACGATCAACTAAATGCACATTACGCTTTGTAGAAAGGAGTAAATTTTCCTTTAGGGAAAAAAACACCGGGCTAATCGGCTCCATCTTCCCAGAAGGAAACCCTAGCGGCCCACGAAAAATAAGCTAGACCGGATCACAGTAAGGGGCTGTTTTAGCCCAAATGCGTCGATCGGATGGAAAACAAATTGAATATGTGTCCGCTAAACAAGTAAGAGTGCGCTTCTACGTCGTCTCCAGTTTTGAACTATGTACGCAAGGGACGCCTGTTGCCCGCTACGTCTAGGCCGCCACCACTACTAGCTGGCCGGTTGACGGCCCTTTCTCAGTAAGTATGCAGTCAAGCCCTCTCCGATGAGCTGCCCTCTCCATGGCGGTCTTACTTCACACATGCTCAGGTGATCTTTTTGACGTGTCGGTCAGCACTAAAACAACCGAACGCGGACAAAAAGAAATCTGCTGTCCGGGAAGACGTGTCCTGTTACTTCTGTGCATTGATTCTTAATACATCAAGCCAACTCGGACCGGGAAGAAGGCGATTTGTCAATGTGTCCTTCTGACGGAAAACGCGAAAGCAAGTTAAAGTGTTAAAAAAAAAGGGCATAGAAGCTCATTTCGTTACGTGAAGTAAACCGTAATCTTCGTACCGGAAACCTCGCTACAGTCTTAGGCGGCAAGGTGTTATCTCGAAGGGATTTTGCCCATCGTGTGTCGTCACTTCAAGATGTCAACACTTGAATGTCCAAGAGGCCTGCGTCCAGGCCGAAGTCGGCGGCAGACTGTAACAGCTTAAAAAGCACTGATTAAACGACGCACCCGTCCATAGTACAGTAGGTCCCTTGCCTTCTTTCTTTCTATATCTATCCCCAAGTAGAGTGGCACTACAATCACTACTGCAATAATTGCGCGTTACTCGTCTCGTGTGTTCGGCATCCATACGTATCTGTTATTTGTCAAAGTGTGCAATTGTTGCAGCCCAGCGAACTGTTGGGTAAAATACTTTTAGTGCACTCTATTGATGAGCTGCTGCTTGCGATGAAATCGACTGAGGAACAAAACGAGTATCAGCGAAAGTGAAAAATGATGCATACGTACCAATAAGCTTTTACAATTGTAACTATTATTTACTCATGCGAGTAGTAGTAATGACTATAGCGTCGTGTCTTGCGCTTCTGACGACTGCCTGAAAGACCCTCAAATCGGCCTTATCAGTGAGTGACGAAACGACCGTCTGGCCTTACGATAAGCGTCGTGTAGCAAGCGATTTGTTGTGCATCTATCTGATAGTTAGTCATATGATGATTCGAACTGTTGTCAGAGCCTGTCGGTGCGCGACGGAAGTATTTTTGAAGAAACAGGCAACGCGTACTATTGTTGACCAACAAGCGGTCATGGTTCTAATAAAGTCAGCCTTGGGCCGAGAATAGTACAGGTTGAACGAGGGCAGATAATTCGTTTAGAGACTATCAGACCACTAAAAAACATACTCTTTTACTCGTAGCTAAAAGACAATTGATTCGCTGTGTGTTTGAAGCGACAATCACCCGGGAATACACTCCCGTGCATGCAATTAATTAGAATAGGCGTCAATGTCCTTACTGCTGCCATGAAATCGATCATTGTTACCAGTTTCCTGCTACTGGCGACAACAGCCGTTCAAACCTCCCAAGACATACAATGCGCTTGTGACTCGTCCGGAGTTCCGGACAACTCGGTTTGTCCTACCAGGAAAATGTTCTCAAACGCTAACAAGCACTGCAAGACATGCTCCGGCGCTACCTGCACACGGCTTTCAGGACAATCTTGTGGGGAAAATCTCCATTGCGAAGCTGATTTCGGACTTGCGTGTGATCCACTATTGGCGATCTGCAAAGGTATGTAATCGTATGATTCCAATTTTACGGTTATAAACTCCGCATTCTGATAGCTGTAAACGGTATCGGAGCGATCAAATTTATCTAACATGAGTATAATTTTTTAACTCTGCAAATGAATGGCAGAACGAGAAACTCATAAATTTAATACAAGATACATAGGTGTTCATGTTTCATTTTTGGTCGTATATTATAAATTTATTCTACAGTCAACACCTACTATTCGTGAAATACAAGCCGTAAGCAGTACAGATGGTACGTTGTGTCAAAGAGCCCATCGGTTCAGCTGTGGTACCGAATTAGCTCAGTCGTTCGAATCTTCTTATATGTCAATATATGCGTTTGTTATAGCTGACCATGGAATTAATAACTCCGGCAATAACGGCCGCAACGAAGGCACATTTTGAAATTCAACACAAACATTGAATAGTTCTTGGATCATCAATGGATTCAAACCGAAACGCCCAAGTAATGGTTAGGGCGTGTTTCCCAAAAAGAACTGGGCCAAAAAAATTCACTTAAACTGGTAGTTTGTGTCAATTTGGGCGTATCGTAAAAAGGCGAAAAGACGAGTAATTTCGATGATGTGATGGAACGGACTCGCTGTCAACGGCTCAAAATTGAAATAACATCTACAGTAAATTAATGCTTTTGTACACTAGGGAATTGAAAAAACTAAAGCCTCTCGCACTGGAAAAAACTATGGGCTGTCTCCCGGCGTAAAATCTATTTCTTGACACTGCTAGCCTTATAAAACAGGCAAACTTTAGTGAACCTTGCACGAACCGTTTAAGCAACATTTAACAAAAATAGCTAAAGGGTCTTGCCAAATTTTTACCTAAAACAAACACGTTCCTGTATTAGCTGACAGGTTTCAGTGTTGATTGTGTGCATGGCTGCTTAATGGATAGCACTGGATACTGGTTGGATAATGTGTAACATCATGTTCATTGAAGTGAGCTGAATCACCTTCAATCGGAAAACCGCGTACGCATTACTAAAGCGGGATTTTGCAAATACCCCCAGTAAAGGCAATATGGCCCCTGACTACTTGAAAGGGGGTATCGAAAATTAGCTTTCTGATGAATGATTTTCCTACAAATGCTATTGGAGTAAAAATATATGAAGAACAAGCTCAACTTCTGTTAAACACATGACCGGGCTTATGGCGTCAGGCTAATCTGCCCACACGCTATTGACGGGCAATCTTTTAGAACTTTCAAATGTGTGCCTTATACTTGGCAGGCGCTTTGAACTGTATGGCTTTCGACTATACCTTAGTTCTATGGAAAAAAAAAAAAAAAATGGAATACTAATGGTGCGCCTTTCTGTGTGTGGAAAGCGAAATCGGGTGCTCACATGTGGTGCCAATGCTGTGAAAAGCTTCTGAGGACCATACCGTAAATTGATGGCAAGAGTACAGAAAGGCAGAAACGGTCTCGCTTAAACTTTGAACACAATTCACGTTTGGTTGGCTGTCACAGCGAGTACGAACAAAGACCTGTTAAAGCGGAGCAGCAACATGTTTAAAAAACCACCGAATCGTTCTCAGGGACCTCATAGAAAAGGTGCAGGTCTCGCAAATTAATTTTGATTATTTTATGAGATGATTAGAGGCGTGGCGCAAGAATTGTGTTTGAATTTTGAGCAAATGCAGACTCGTCAAGCCCTGTCGCACGAAAGGCTGGCGTGAAATAGTCTAGAAAATCTAGATTGGACATTTATAAGAAGATTGCGAAATGTTTGCAGCTAAAATACGTCTAGACTTTAGCAAAAAAAGTTCTAAGTTGTTCATTAGCTCACAAGTGGCTTCTTGCATCGACCTTTCTTCAAGTCGATTCCCGTACATCCTTGACTCCAGCATTCATCACATTTGACTCCTTGCAGTGTCTGCCTCTTGCTTAAGCCCAAAAAAACACCTGGAAGGAGGAAGTTCTTCAATGACTAGGGAAATTAAACAAAAGCGAGATCAGACTGTGGTGTATTTCTATGATAAGGTTTTATTTATAGATAAAACAGGAATTGAAATTAGCGAGCTTTTCTGCGTAAAGGACAGCTAGAACCTGATTTGTGCGGTTGGCCCAAAAATGTTCGATACATTTTGGCCCTGTAGTTGTTGTTCTTGTTGAAGTGAGTCGGGTAATGGAGTTAAAGTGTTTTCTAAGAACCGTGACACTCTAGTGAAAATCATAATCTTTCAGATGTCTGTTTGGATCAACGGCAAAATCTTCTATGTAATATTTATATTTAGCACGAAAACGAATTAGGATATCCATATTGCGGGATCCATATTGCAAACTAATCTTCTCATTCTAGCTTTTTCTGAATAAAAATTTTACTTGAATGAGCGAACAACTGAGATGTATGTTTACGAGTGAAGTTCTGCAACCTAAATGCTAGGCTTCACCCAGCTTCGTGATTGTTTCCGACAGTTACTAGATATTCACAGTTAATAGCTTGCAACTTTAGGGTGTGTACTTACAAAATGTTAACTTTACTAACAGCTATCGAGCTGCTGTTGTCACTCGAGTTTAAATATTTTTATGTAGGATAGTAACTGGCCGTGCTTCATATAACGTTCGTCAGAGAATGCTCCAATGATATCGCTATTCTACCCTCATACACAATTTGTTGGGTGTTCAAAACACTAACGTCATCTTGTGTGTAATAAAGAGTGGTACCATTTACGCTTGTGGTTAAACACAGCCTATTTGTCATCCGAATTATTTCGACTTGACCGCGATACGACCTACATAAACGGATATGATTTCAGTCGAGCTGGTACAGGTTCGATATTTTCCTAAAAGGTATTTTAGGACGCGTTAAGGATAATAAAAATGATTCTAATTTCAGTTTAAGAGGAATTAACCGCTTGGCAACAATGTTTTCTAGCAATTTTTCTTTCTCTGGATTGCGATGTAGAAACTTGCCTTCCAGGCGGTGATTTTATGCTCTTTTTTACGACAGCTTGAAGAATAGGGATTTACAAAAGGGCAGCGTGATTTATTATACTAACAGCAAGTGTTATTTAACAGTTACGGATATTAAAAGAAATCCCTTAAAATACTTTTTACGACGACTACACGCTTGTGAAAATAACTGATCCTTCTTTGGCAGTGATGCGGACGCAACGCTACCCATGGTCATTTTGCCGAAAATATATTTTATCTCTGATTTTTTTTTTACTTATTACCCCTGTTATGAATTCGCTGAAAAGACGTCGTAACAACCTGGGATGCTACCAACTTAACAGAGCGTTCATACACATCACTGACGATCGCTTTTAAAAATATTGCAATTTGGCAAACAAGTACTTGTGTAGAATTTATTTAAAATTAAAATGATGTTCGTAAGTAACTTTTTTATGTACATATTTTTTTTCCTATTATCATCATCATCGCTACACATCGCAAGGTAATAACAATTGTTAATTATTTTGAATTAAATTGCTTAATTGAACTTGAGCGCTGGTATTCTAATACAGACTCACTTAACGTCGGTACGTTTTAACTTTGCACGTCACACAAATCAAGCCTTAAATCAAACTTCGAACTTCAATTACGTATTTATGAATTGGCCTCACAGACGAGTCCAGACTGGGATACAGTTAAACATCAACAATATTGGGCAACATTTACCGTAAATAACAAAACGTATGTACTGTCAGCCGTATCATAGGCACATAGTGCAACTCAGTGTAGTACAACGTCGTTTATTATGTTGCCATTATTAACGCTGCCGTGCACAGTTTTGGGATCTTGTGTGCGTGTGTCGTATAGCATTGTTGTGGCTGTTCATTAGAGCAGACTCAGCTGAAAACAGAAATTGTGTACATCCTCAGCGTGTGGGTTTCGTGGCCGACCCTTTAAAAACATCATCCATCTGAACGGATACAATCGTCCCCTGTCGTCGCCGTCGCTTTTCGTCAACACTCTTAGCTCTCAACTGCCGGCAACTGGCCAACGGCAGGCCCAGAAGCCTTTTGATTGACTGACTGAAGGACTAAGCGGGTAAAAGTTATGAGACAGGAAGGACAATGCAGTGAAATTCTGTAGGCAGTTATGAGTTCAGATTAAAGAGGCAATTGTTTACAACAAAGACTGTGTTCCTTGCGCGCGGTGCAACACCTAGAACAACAGTGCACAATCAGCAGACGAAAGAAATGGAAGAACGGTGCCCACAGCAAGAAATAGATACTGAGGCCACGTACCTGGGCTCTAACTTTCTACCAGAGCTCTTTCACAGGGCGTACGCACACAAGCATATAACATTCAATCAAACAAGCCACACGTAATAGTCGATCGGTCAAAAGACGAAATGTAGCATCGTTTGTTTGACCAGTAATTCCGCCAGCCTTGTTCCGCATGTTCGAGTGGGTCTGAGAAGTCATTTGTTATCCGACGGAAGATGAGAGGCCGTTCAGTAAACGTGGTCTCCCATTAGCGCATCTCACGTGTATATGTGTGTACGAGAATGCGCGCGAATGGGCCTTTAAACGAACAAGACTCTGAGCGGTCAGGAGACCCCGAAATATTATGGAAGAAGTCTGTTGATAGAGTTACTGTCGCCTAAAGAAAACAGGTAGCAGCCAGAGTATCGAAACGGAATTCCCTCATGACTTCACCAATGGGTACATCGGCGGAAGCACGTAAGGCTGAAGCCATGAATTGGAGAAATGGCTGGGTGACCATTCCACATCAGTTCTTTGTTTTGTTTTCTTAAATACACATGTTCTACGTATACGTATCACGATCACGTATATCGTAAATGAACCCTGTGACATGGCTGTATTTGTGCAAATAACTGATGATCTATCAAATAACTATCGATTCACCCAGACAGCTAAAACCAGACCGAGTGTTTTTAGCAGCCGTTACACCTCAAATTTAGGTCTTCATCTAACCTTATATATGGTACGCAATGCTTTTGTGGATCAATGCTGGGGAAAAACTGTACCTTTCACCCCTCATGGAAAACGAGGTGCCTATTCTCAAGTTGTT